TGTGTGTGTGTGTGTGTGTGTGTACCGTGTGTGTGTGTGTGTCGTGTGTGTGTGTGTGTGTAGTGTGTGTAGTGTGTGTGTGTGTGTGTGTGTGTGTGTGTGTGTGTGTGTGTGTGTGTGTGTGTGTGTGTGTGTGTGTGTGTGTGGGCTGAACTAAATGGTAACATTGTCACAGACAAATAAAGTAGAATTGTCTTCTGGCTTCTATTTCCTCTTAATTAAATGTGTGTGTGGGGGGGGGGTGTGTGCTTGTGTATGAGTGTGTGTGTGACTTTCTCTTCCCAATTAGGGTTTTAATCCATCAACTGGCTGTTGCTATGGTGGTTCTTCCTCCAACCAATCAAAGCCAAGCGAGTGAGCACGCTCAGAGAGGAGAGTCACATAACAACCTGAATGATAGTGTTTGATACCATGGACCAGAGGGTGAAGGAACAGGTGATTAAAAAACTTCCGGGCAGTCAACAGAATATGAAAGAAACCGCACACACTTTGTCCAACCCTTGTAACCAGGCGACCACACACACCTTGGTGATTTTTCACATGTTCAAATAGGCAATTATAGCCTACTGTGTGAAATATTGTGATGGAGAGCTTCAAGTTTCAAAGCTGTTTATGAATCCTGAACATTAATCAAATACATTAGCTCTTTATTTGGATCATATCCACGTTAATCATTTTTGAAGCTTCCTTGAAAACTAAAGCGGATTCCTCATTTGAAAAGACCCATATATTACTGTAAACATAGGCCTACTGTATGTTTCAATATTCCATGTCTTGGTGCAGATATGTGTGCTTATTTTCCTTGAATCCCCTTCTCTCTCAGGGTGCTTTTCTTTTATATATTTATCTAAGCAGGCAGGTCAATTAGGAGAGAATTCAGATTTACTACGACCGCTAGCACAGCTGCTCTCACTGATCCCAGGAGGAAGCGGCTGTGTGTGTGTGTGTGTGTGTGTGTGTGTGTGTGTGTGTGTGTGTGTGTGTGTGTGTGTGTGTGTGTGTGTGTGTGTGTGTGTGTGTGTGTGTGTGTGTGTGTGTGTGTGTGTCTTTCCATGTGTGCACGAGCAGACAGTGGACAGTCAGTGGTGGGACCAGTTTTTCTTCCATATTGTGCTCCAAAAATAAAGCTGAAAGTCTGACCGAGTCTGTCCATATGTTTATTTCATATACAACAGAAGTCTTCAGAAACTAATCACACACAATGACTTCAGTTATGAATATTTACGAAAAAAAACACCGACTCAAATCTAAAGAGAACTACCATTTTTAAGATTTCCACAGAAGCAAATCTTAAAATAAAAATACATACACTGTGATCTCAAGTATCCAGCTGCCATATAAACAATTCAGGATGCACACACGCCATATCTGAACAATAGAAGCCTCCGCTATTAGGTCACATGATTAACCATTGCAGAAACACATTCATTAAACTCAATTTCCTGTCACGTTTTGCTGCATGTCTACACATGAGATGCATGTGTGTTGGAGATGTAGTGATCCAACAGCTGATATCTCCAAAACAAAATACAGGCTCACCCTGGACCAATCTCCCGGAATGATGCTGAGCTTGATGCATGGAGGTTTGATATACAGTACATTAAACTGTTAAAGCATGGTTCAATGTTGCTCTCCTATGAAAACCATTCCTCAAAAACTAGTAAACCTGTTTTTAACCTTGTGATCATTAGAAAGGTATTTGAATGGGATTTAAAAATATATATATTTGTATTAATTTCAAACACTCAAAACTAATCGCAAAGAAAATGTAATATTCCAGATCATGTGAAAATAAAAACATGTATAAATAGATGTGTAGAACATCATATCTCCAGAAATTAAACTTGAGGAATTGAGAAAAAACATTAAATAGTAAAGTAGGCAGATTGGATTTAAAAAGAGATGTATTAATAATGTTTTATTAATTTCAAACACTCATATTATAAAAAACATGATTGACAGATTATCTAAAAATAAAAAATAAAAACAAAACCTGTAGATGCATGGTTTACATTGGCCAGCAAGGTTATTGTAGTGTATGCATTTCCATAAAATGTTCGCCTGCGCTGCCTTGATTGTAAACAAGATGTGGAGCCATGTAGACGCAGATTATATGAGCCATGCAATTAAAAAAACATGACCACGCTCTCACTGTATATAGCCCTAGAAATGTGCTGCACATGACCCCCCCCCCCGTAAACCTCAACAAGAGAGACGGAAACGGAGACTATTCCAGCGATAAGCATGACGCTCAGGAAGAGAGAGATGAAGGAGAGGCAGACAGAGAGACAGACACATAATGCACCAGGTGTCTGACCTTGTGTGTTTGACAGCAGGCAGTTTGGACTGGATCCAACTGTGAGAGGCCTACACCTAAGTACTCTACTTATACAGCCAAACTTTGTTTTTTGTATTTCTTAATATCTGTAGGTATTTGTTTGAGTCACAACATTTGTTTCAATAACTTAGTTTCAATTTATTAAATTAAATTACTGAAAAAAAAACATCCGTTAACTTTGACCCTTACATAAAATATATAAATAAACTAGCTGCACCTTTACCAACTCTGATAACACTTTAATGATCAATAATTAGAAAACATATCATATATATTATTCTGAAATGGAACAATCTGCGCAATGACTACTTTGACTTTCGGTACTTTAAGTATATTTTGGTGCTAATACTTTTGTTCTTTTGAGTAACATTTTGAATGCAGGACTTTTACTTGAGTAGTATTTTGAATGCAGGACTTTTACTGTAACAGAGTATTACTCTGATACTTCTACTTTACTCAAGAACAAGATCCTCCCCCCTCTGGTTCTCTTAGCGATCGCTGTGTCTCGGCGAGAGAGGCACCAGCGTCAGTGGGAAAGATCAGATCAGACCCGTCCCCCTCTCCCTGTCTCACTTTCATAAGTGGATTTATCATTTCCAGGCCCTGACCTGTCCTCCCGACAGGACAGCCTGGCTGGACTCAGCCCTGCAAATTACTGCTGACCCTGACCATGAAAAGTCTCTATGTTAAAATCACAGAGCTTGTGATATTAAAGTGAACCCGACTTTGACTCTGACCTCTGCATATAGATATTTTTATCCCCGGTTTTCGACCCCCTTCACGATCAGAATGTGACGTGTTTGGTTTGAAATTGTTACCCAATCTGAGGGAAGAGAACTGTTGACTCTTGTGTTTCTGCTGTGACTCATTCAGCGGCCTCCAGCACACATAATGAACACCTCTTCTGCTGTCCGGCAATTCACACCTCCTGTTCCTTTCTATGTAAGCGATGCAGCGGTGTCATTATCAAGTCCTACTTTTCTACAATACCCTAGTTGTGTGTTATAGCCAGTTTTAAGTCTTCACACATCCTGCCACCTTCTTATCCTTCATGTTATCCCTTCACTCTCTACTTTTTCCCTGTGGCCTCTCGCTGCCCTCCATTTCTTCATCCTGCTTTTTTGGCACTGTCTATGTTTCTTTCAAACGGCGTCTAACTCTCTGTCATGTTCCTTATAAATGCTTTGTGTGCCATTGTGTGTGTTTGCATGAAACTGTGTCACAGGCGGTTATAGGAAGCTTGGGTGATTAACTCTGATAGCCACCAGATGCCGGACTCAGTCACACACACCAACACACTAACGTCAACAAAGAGGCCTGAAGATGGACAGAAACAGACAGCGGAGAACTACAAGGGAAATGTGAGTGACAGCAACCGAGCAGAGCAAAAGAAGCAAAAGAGGAAGTGACACGTAGAGCAGACGGAGCGTGTGCGTAGGTGAGAGGAGGTCCAACATGTGTGTGCAGTATGTGTGTATGTTTGCACTGTGTGTACTGCAAAGTGCTGACTTTGTTCTTTAAAAAAGCTCTTTTTTTTTCTCCTGAGCTTGATTTTTTGGAGAACAAACAACGTGAGTGAGGGCAGATGACTGTCTGCAGAATGGTGATGTGACCTCAGATCAAAGCTTTGATTGGCCAGATGCCGCAGATGTTGTTTTCTCTATGGTATTTGTGAATGTGTGTGAGAGAGAGAAGAAGAAAGAGATTTGAATGCTGATTTCCATTTACCTAAACTGAGAGGGCTGATTAGTTATAGATATATCTGCATGTGTGCGTGCTTGCATTTGTGTGTTTCAGTGTTTGTTGGACGCCCTCTCATCAGTCAAGACTATCAGATCGGGCAGTCAACAAGCAGCTGGCTCTGACTGTGGGACCGCCTCTCTAAACTGCCAAACACAAAAAAAGTTAGATTGTCACAAAAGTAAAACAAAATCAATATACTGGCTAAAAATACCCCTTTGAGCTTGCATGTCATGACAGATGTAAGAAAATATGGAAATGTTGGCTACTTTTAGCAACATTGTACTATTTCCAGCTAAAGCAGTTCATCGATATTAAAAGAAGCAACTCGTCGGATGTCATTATATAACATATACACATTTGAGCCGTTTCAAGAATTTTAGGCAGTGATTAAAACATGCGTCCAAGGATTTGAGGGACTTCTTTCTGTAGATTCCTCCATATGTCAGAAATACTAAAATATTAGCTCTGACTAGCATGTTGAGTAATTCCCCATGTCCATGTGTCGTTCCAAAATACAGTAATCCAAAACTTTACGTGTGTACGTTGACCCAATCAACTACTGCGTCGATCCGATTTTGGCTGATAAAAAAAATAAGGCTGGCTCCCCCTGAAAAC